AGCAGATGAACATCTGACATTAAGATACCTCAAATCACCATCAGGATATTAACAGAATTTTAAAAAATGGAAACAATTTCCACTATTAAAAGTTAGTCAGATGTTTGCAATCAGTATTTCTCAGAAACTGAGAGAACAAGAGGCTCTCATTCAAAGAGCATGGTGGTTCCCTCAGAGCCCCTACATGAGGGATCCCAACCCCCCCAGTCTTTCTGATCCAAAATGTGACAGTTGCAAAGGACAACTGGGGGGACAAGGATGTTGATGGGTTGGAAGAATTAACAGAAGAAAGAGGGAAGTGGAAAGTAAAAATCTCTATACCTTCACAAGTTGAAACCAGCCTGTGCTTTACTTCAGCTCTAATAATTCACGAGCCAACCTCTGTCCCTTGGTTCTCATCTTCTAATCACGATTTAAACAAACAAAAACCTCCACACCTCTAGCAATAAATATTTTGAGGAAAAATAAAACCTACAGTTTAATTACCTCTGGAAAATACCCAGCAAACACTGTTTAAAACGGAAGGAAATCTGTTTGACTGACTCCCAGCATATTCTTTTCTATCGTTAGATCATGTCCTTCACCTTGCAGTGGAAGGACTTTCTATTATACTTTGGAGGATCCTATACTGCTTTTGGAAACAAAGTGTTCAAGGCCAAGGGAAGTTCCTCTTAAAAAAAAAAAATGATGTCATGTTATGGCCTGTTTCTTCCTATTGTTACACTCATTAATAAGGTACCCATCACCATCATATCTGGGTGGCACAGGTCCAAGAGACACATCAGTACACAACCGACCTTACTGAAAACGAAGTACTCATGCTCTGATTTTTTTTTTTTAAGAAAAAAAATAGCCAGGGTAACAAAACAATATAGAGCGTAATGAACTGTTGAAAGAAAGAAAGAAAGAAAGAAAAAAAAGGACAAACCTGATGTGAGCAGATGCACAGTTTTCCTTAATTGGGAACTTAACTGGTTTAATTTTTCAACATATCTACTTAAAATTCAATTCTCACAGTCTCTCCTTCATCCTGGTCAACTGAGAAACTGTGTCACAAGAAGAGATGTGCCTACAAGGTAACAGCGAGCAACGCTAGATATCGTGGGGCTGAGGGAAAGGCACAGCATAGCTGCGTGTGCAGATTTTGGTCGGTATCAGATACTATGGCTGCTTTCTCCATAGTGGGAACACTTTGCACCATCCAAGGATCTGCCCAAAAGCCCAGTATGAGTTCCCATTGTTCAGAGAACAAGAACAATATTACTTGACCTAGAGATAATAGCAAAAGCTGCTTTGGAAAGTCAGAATTAAAAAAAAAAAAAGAAAAGAAAAAAGAAAAAGAGAGGATCGCAAGGTAAAAAAATGTTTCCTGCTCCTTCACAGAAATAGCCTATCCTGAAAGTTTGGCCCTCAGGGTCTAGAGCAGGTATTCATTTCAGTTCTCTTCTAAGACATTTTAATAAGACACCCATCATGCCCCCAACTGCACAAATATGCCATCAACTAGAAGAAATAGGTTTCAGCCTTTGATTTAAGCTACATTAGGACAGAATATTTGTGCTCCCAAGACTACAAAGTCAGACTTGCTTATCAGGTTATCCAAGGCTGTAGTACGTACAGTGCTAAGTGTTTGTACGGAGTTCCTACTGTGGGCTGCCAGAGCTTAGCTTAAGCCCACTTCAAAAACATAATTCTTTCAGGCAGGCAGGTAGTTTGCCAGCAAATCTCAAATCTCCTCTCCCTCCTGTCTCAAACTTTCCATGGGGCAGAAGAATCTCACAGTAATTCAGGTTTTCCTTGTGGTCGTCTTCTATACAATTGAAACAGCATAAATATGAGCTTACAAAAAAAATGCGTACAAGCTAGAAGTAAATCAGAATTAGATAAGCATCTACATACATCCGAGCAGAAAGAGGAGGCAGAGAAACAGACCGATATTCTTTGAATGTTTATACAGTCCAGTTTCAGTGCAGTTAGTAACATGTGCATCCCCAGCCTATTAGCCAGGAAATGAAAAACATGCAGTCTTACAGCTCCAGTTTCGAACATGTATCTTTGTGGATCATGACATCTAACACCATTTTTAGAGAGATATTAACACGTTAGTACCTTAAAAAGCAAGAACGGAAAAGGAAAAGAATCCACAGAGATTCTGCCTAGTACTGCCCCATTCCACATACATCTGAAAAGGCAACAATGCTCAACATACTGGAAAGTCAGCAACAAAACCTGGAATAGCAGAAGCAGCGTCAGCGTAGGACTGCCTGAACAAAAGAAAGGTGGGCTTTCCTGCAGCAGCCTTGCTATTTCAGAAACCAAGCGCAGGCTGGAAAAAGGCTCAACAATATATAAAAATCATCACCCCAGGGAGGTGGCATGCTGCCCCCTGCCTCCCCCAGGCTTCACCACAGGCACGCACAGATTTTATTTATAATCCTTAGTTTTATTTGTACTCTGGGAAGTACTTGACTGCTAATGGTTCAAGCCTGAAAAAGCGAGAGTTCTGTGCACTGGAGATTAAAAGCCAGCCTGCGGCACCCGGGCCAGCACGCTGCCAGCAGCTCACAGTCGCCTCTCACAGCTTTTTCAGCATATACAGTGGGAACGTACTGCTCACTCCCACCCATATGTCACCCATAACCACAAACCCCCAGCATTTACTTCTGTGATTGTAAAGCATAATTATTGTTTGGGTTAAAGTGTGATTGTTAACAGAAAACCTTTGCAAAAGCTCTATTTAAATAACCTTCATAGTGCTCTCCTTCCTAGCTGTAACTCTGTTTGCCCAAGCTATCTCTCCCCTTTACCGCAGTCCATCAGCTCCTATTGCTCATACCTTACTGTAATCACGATACTCTGTAATGAGAACAACCACTTTTTGTGTTCTTTAAGAACTTGGAGCAAAAAGAAAAAGCAGAACAGGCATAGCTATAAACTGAAGTACTTCATCTCCCCCTAACTGACTGCTACCCTTTCCACTCCCTTTTTGCTCTCTTCTGGTGCAGATGGTGGGACAGAGCAGTTTAAGAGGAACAGCTTTGAAGGTAGCCTTGCTCTGAGCAAGGGGCTGGACTAGACAATCTCCAGAGGTCCCTTCCAGCCTAAAACATTCTATGACTCTGTTTATGAATAAGCATTTGACCAAATCTGAAGCCACAAAGATGTTTGAGAGTTTGCTCCAAGAATAGCCACCAATAGAGAAAAAGCATAGAACTGGAAAGTGAGAGGAAAGAAAAAAAAAATCCACACAAACTTCAAGAGAGACAGACATGCTAAGGTTTATGAACTCTGAATAACTTTCTAGTAGTGGTACTACATTTGATAACACTTTTTTTTAAATAACATTTTTAACTAAAGCTGGCATTAGGAGGTAAGTTGACTTGCCTGCTCAAGAACAACCTCCTCAACACAAAATGGAACTGTGACTGTGATCAATTAAAAAACAATTCTGATTTATCACACTGGCACTTTTTTAAAGTAGATTTTTATGAATTTAGAACGATTAAGACTTGCTCTAAGTAATCCCTCTGCTCAGCCAACACCAGCGTTCATGTTCTCAGCTCAAGCCCCAGATGCACTCAGACACACCCTATATCGCTGGAAGCTAATCTGTGATGAAGCTATTGCAAAATCTTAGCATCAAATACTATTAAATAATCAAAGTTACTAATGTTGGATGGATGCCTTCAGGAGGTCAGCCCCAGAGAATGTCCCGCAAGGTTTGAGGGCTTGAAACAACATAATTTTCCATGCTGATGATGAAAGGAAGCCAGATTGTAACATATTTAATTGCTCAGTCGTGTCTCTTCCAAAGCTGGTCATCTTTTCCACAGTGAGGACATCTCAGATTTAAGCAAGACATCTGTCCACTTTTCCCACTACCTCATTTTGACTATGTATCCACTTAGCCTCTTCTCCAATGACCCATGATGTATGCAAGCTGGACACAGAAGAAGAGGCTGCCCCTTGGAACCAAAGGAAGAATTATGACAAGCAAGCATACAAAAAAAAATTCATTGAGTTTGTATATATCTCTTGAAGAAACTACAACATAAGCCAGGTACGTGAAGTCTACAGATCTTTCTCATTTCTCTGTTAGGAGAACGTGTTGTTACAACACACTGCTGTAAAGATACATATGCAAGAAAAACGTGGGACACATCACCCCTATAAATGAGAAAGCATCTTCCTAACCTATGAGCATTAGCACAACTATTATTAATAGGTCTTTACCATCACCATTGACAGCTGACTTTAAAACAGATTAGACAATGATCAGGAATAACATAGGACAGGTTTATCCCACTAGAGGAAAAAGGATGGTCTCAGCAACCTATTAAGATTCCTTCCACACGTCTTTGTGATTTTTTTCAGAAAATAAATGATCAGAAACTTAATTCCAGATTAGAGACCTCCAAGGCAGCATTAAGCTGAGATACTACATCTGCGCGACCCAGCTCTGCAGAGACCCTAGCTCAGGTTCTGAAGCAACAACAGCTTCTCCAGCACAACCCTGCACACACAGGAGTAAGTCTGGCCTGTCAACAAGGCTAATAGTTCGGCCTAATCCTCATGCTGACACAGTCACCCTGCTCCCATTTCCAAAGGTTTCTGTGGTACCACCTCTCTAGCACGTGAGCCATGCAATTCTTTTTTTTCCTTTTGCGCACACGCGCGTGTGTGTGTGTGTGTGTGTGTTTTGGTTTTGCTTGTTTTTTTTTTAAATCTTTAAAAAAATTACAAAAGAGATTACTGTTAATACTGCTATTCTGTGAAGATTTTAAAGGGGACCGTAGGTGCAAGAAAACTCTTACAGAAACAGCATCATTTCTCACACAGCCATGCTGGAAGTCATGATCACAATTTTGTATTTACGCCTTGGTTTTATAAAAACTTCAGTTGACCTACATTTTTCCAGCATGAACAACTATTTTTGATCAATAATTCTAAATACATACAATAATTTACAGTGAACGCATGATTTACATAATGCCACCTACCTGCAGCTGCTAAACACAAAATCATCAAAGCAAACACTGGAGTCGCACAACTTGAAGACATTTTGGCAAACGCTGTCTTCTCAGATCAACCCCCTTTGTAGCTCTTCATGTAGATTCACTTCCTTTGAAAACTGTGCTACGTGTTTTGAAATCAAATCTTCCAGACTTAATTGCCTACAGAAAAAAACAAAAATACATTTTAATATGACTACATCTTACAGAAATGTTTCTAGCCATCTAAAATTCTCTCTTATACCAAGAGAAATAGAATTCTTAAAGAAACATTACAGAAGTGCATTTAATAACGCCAAATATCCTAGACAGCAATAGCTTAGTACTCTCTTCTCCCTGTATTTCAGCAGTCCTTTGCAGCCATTGCTCTTGCATATTACCCATTGTGCAAGTTGTGATCTGCTTGGCAGTGAAATCCCAGAGTCCTTTCTCTCAGCAAACACTGAGGTCCTGCTGAAGCCTGGGAGTAGTCTCTACGGGCCTTCACTTTAAGTTTTCAGACTTTCCCTAGGTCACTTAAACATTTGTTTATTTATTTACCTCTACCTTTATTATACTACAGAGAATCATTTCAAATGTGCTCTGGCTGCTTTACAGGTAACGTAGTAAGCCTGACACTTCATTTCTCAGTATCAAAAATTCTGAAAACTTCAAGCCTTCTTGACACCAGATATAAAGCTGTTCACAATCTTTATTTTAAGAAATTTCAAGACTTGATATTCCAGGTCAGGAAAGCACCTTAAATGTGCTATACAAATAACTGACAATACAATAGAGGCCCACAAGTGTTTGAAAACATTAAAAATTCTAACCCCAAAATGCATGCTGAAGATTTCTGAGGGGAAACATTTATCATACGGTACAATAACTCTTTTTTTTTTTTTTAAAGGTACTATCAGCCATCTAGCTGTCTAGAACGAGACTATGGACCGTGTAGGTGAGGAATCACAGCGCTGGTATCATAATCGAATAAAAATCTGATCTACTTTACTTCATGATCAGCCGTCAGGAGCAGAAGATGACATATGGTGCCTCAGCAACCACCAACACTCACCACAAAGCAATGCCAGCTATTGCAAACAATCACTGGGCTAAGGGACAGAAAAATGCTGAGGCAGGACCATGTTTTAAACCATGGCAAGATTAGTATCTTTGAAAAGGTACCTGCTGACATTTAAAATGGACTGAAATACAGAGTCAGAGAAAAGTAGAGCTAGGCTCTATTATACGATGCTTCCTTCACTCTGGATGACCAGAGGTCTACACAAGGGAAACGAAGACACTTGTGGACAGCAGACCTGCTGCTAAGAGGGAACCACCACAAACTCCTTTGCAGAATTTGTCCAAGCAGTACTCTCAGCTACAGCGCTGTCCTCTCAGACTGAGCTGCAGCTGCTCACCAGGTTATGAGCTGTCAGAGCCAAGTCCAGGACCTCCACACAGACTTAAGCTAAGGCCTCAGGCAGATCTTTTACCCAACGCTCAGCAGCTTTGACTGGTCTCGGTGGTGCCTCAGACCCCACCTGTGCAGGAAGAGAACATTTCTTCCTGTGAGCTGCACTCTGAAGGCTACCAGGAGCACTAACACGTCTATTCACCCTGACACCACACTTCTACAGGAGAGCTGCTTGACACTACAGAAATGCACACGGCAAGGAAGGAGTTGAATATCCATCATAACATGGGGTTTCACAGAGTTCACTTTCAAGTTCGGCAACCCATGTCAGAAGCACATTTTTGCAAACACTTTCCTCTCAAATCTGCGTATGCTCTGTGCTTTCAGCACACGGTAATTTAGGCTGCAGTTCCTCAACTGATACTCTTCCCCTGCTTTCCTCCTCCTCCCCTCCCCTCCAGTGGCTTAGAAACATTGCCTAGACAACAGCAGTGAATGGGGAAGCCCCTAGAGAAATGAGGGCTCTAGTAATTCTACCTGCTAATCGTTATTTTTTTACCTGCCGGCGCTCAGTCTGGGGAAAATGAGTTTACTGTTGACTCTGAAGAGAGACTTTTACCTCTTTACACCGTGTAAACCAAATCAGAGTATCCTGTTATCTGATATTCACAAAGCAATGTATGGTTGGATATCCCAAAGTGGAGATTCCTTTCCATTAAAATTAGATTATATGAGACTGTCACTATCTGTGAAAATACTTAGTTATAATAACCTAAAAACTCAACCTCACAAAATAAGAAACCGTGAAACTATCTAGGGATGTTTAAAGTATTCTCAGCTGCCAAAACCAAATTGCATTTTTATTTTTCCATGCATTATGCCTTGTGAAATAGGCCCTAAAGTTAAGAGTAGATACTAAGTCACTTAAGAGAAGATTTTTCTTTCAATGAATATACAATAACTCATGTGTGTGTGTGTGTGTGTGTGTGTGCGTGCGTGTGTCATTCATGCACCAACATCAGTTCTGCATGCTTTTACTCATTACCACTTAAAACATACTTGCTATTGGGACTGCATATTCAATCATTTGTAAGACAGGTTCTCTGGTACACGTTTTTGTTCCCCCACTGTTTGCTAGATCAATACATTTAAAAAACGTTAAGTAAGACAGCAACACTAGATCACACAACACACATCTAAAGTAGCAACACACTGCAATGCATTTCTGTCACCAATGGCAAAACAAATAACACGCAGCCTCATAAAGGAGCAACAGTCCTCCTTAAAACCCTGAACCCTGATTTGCCCAAAGATTTCTTCTATAACGTTTCATAGAAGAGAGGTTCCTCTTCAAGAAAAGAAAATTACTCTGGTAAAGAATGAACACACACTCAATTCTGGAGATGGCTCAAAACAGGAAAACCTCAGAAAATGATGACTTCCTTGGACAATTTACAAGATTTGTAAGAATTATTCATCCCAAACCTACTGGAAGTATTCAAAGAACTGCTAAATATCCCTCTTTCCCCCCCCCCCCCCCAAGGTTATGTAGCTAAACCCTCAAATCCATGAGGGATCTTGAACTTTTTGGTAAATTAAGGCCAACCTTCTTATTTTATTAAACAGAAATAATAAACCGTTGACAAGAATGTTGGACTATCCTTTAACACAGAAGTTTTGAACACGAAGATCCAAATAAAACAGGTTGAATGCCAAAAAGGCAAGCCATAAAGAATTTATGAAAGATTGAACATCATCTGAGAAGTCAAATATAAGCTGGAATCCTTTGTTACTATTTCTCTAGATGAAGAGAAAACTAAATTTACTCAGTGAGAGTATTTTGTGCTAACTCAACTTTTAAATGCTGCTATAAAGACAAATGAACAAATACAGCAAGTCATAAGGTTTCTAGCCAATGCTAGCTATAAAAGATCATCGTAACTTGCTGCAAGATGTCATATGAGCAAAAAGGCAATGAACAAGCATTATGAAACTGGAGTTACTGACGCATAACTATTTCATGAACAATGAACAAAGAGAAACCAGAAAAAGAGCAACTAGAACACATACACTCAATATACTAAATAGGAAAATACAAGACATTACTTGGATCGCTCTTTCATGAACACAAATCTCTCTTTCTTCAATGACATTTTTATAAGGCACAGAGCTGTGCAGAAATAGGAAGCACAGGGAAAGAACTGGAGATAAAGCTATGCTGTGGAGAACAGCTGAGCATCCCATTCTATAACGATCACCCTTTAAGCATGTATGTGAAACTGCTGTGTTTTTAATCAATTTTGATTTGGGGAGGCAGATTTAAAAAGTTGAGAGAACCTACACACATTCCCATCTCCAAGCAAAAGAAATGAGCGATTCTACTTCTACCGCAGTGCACTGATGGATAATATTTGGAAGGTCTAACCTGGAGTAGAGGGCGTATGATGCAAAAGCCCTAGGCTTCTCTTCTGATTCTGCTCGCTGACGAAGAGCTGAACGCTGGAGACTTAGAAAGCTCTTCCTAATTTTAATTTCAGGAAAGGGCTCACTTGCTTTCAGATAAGCATTCACAGACTTGACAACAAAAAGGAAGGCAAACTCCAGACCTTGAAATGTGAAAGGATGACAAACTGATAGCAAGTTTCAGGAATTTAGGATGGGCTATCCTCCACACACTCAGCTATACAGATTGCAGAACTGAAGCAATTCAAGTCAAAAAGCAAAAAACATGACTAAGAATTAGCATAAGAATAAACCTACCAAACACATAATTTGTTGGTATTCTGGAAAACCCGATCATTCTCACCTGTGACTGAAAAGGTCACCAGTTAAGAGAGGGTATCTCAAAGCAACAAAGAGACTTTGGGGAAGAACAGCAGGTATCAATTTGCCTGTATATGTTTGATGTTTGGATGCTGACCTTTTCTATGTGGCTTTCTGGAATGAAGAGGAGGCAGGTGCCTAAACGAATGGGCCTAAAGTCTTTTGGAAGTCAGCTACAAAGTTGCTGTTATCTGATCATCTGACAGTACCAAAGAGAAAGAAGTATGAAAACGGGTGAGGAAAATTCAACTCTGGAGCAAAATATGCCAGAACTTGCTTCAGCGTGAAACCTAATGTCACCTGCAAAGCAGGAAAAGTTCAGGAAGTCCACAGAACAGGAGGAGATTTCCTCTAAAATAAGAGGAGAAAGGTTCCTGAACCTTTTGCACAGCTAAATTATTTATCTATAAACAAACACAACTGTTAGTCAATTTGAGACTCAAAAGAAATTTCCAAGAGAATCACCTTCTCCTTTGGGGTATTTCTAGGTAACTATTTTTGTGACTGAAGTCATGAAAGGGCACATTAAAAGTATAACCAAAAAAATCCCAAGGAGGAAGAGAAGACGACATGAAAGTCTCAGGATTAGTAAACATATTGTTTGATCCAAATGTTTAATACTACAAGCTGTTAGAAAAGGCAGACAGAAGAGGGGCATCTATAACTGGAGCCATTGAATATTCTTAGTCAAAGAGGAAGTCTGGTAGTATCATTTTCACAGAAGCTTGTTGCGGTAAAGGCCATTAGTCCTGACAAAAATGAGGGCCTAAAAACCACCCGAGAACTTGCTTCACTGAGAAGTATGATTTTAGAAAAACTGAAATGCTGCATTTTAGTAGGTTTAAACGATTTAGGGGGCAGGGAGGGTGTAAACAAATACATGATGAAGTACATGATGGAAGTGACAAGAAGGAGAAACTCTGAGGTTTTCATTTGTTTTAAA